CATTAATATTGATTTTGAATTTTTTTATGATATTAGTTAAATATTGATAAGTAGGCAAGCTAGCATTTAACTTTCCTAAAATAATGAAAGAGATGTTGTTTTTTTCAATAATGTATACCTTGTTATATACAAATCAAAATAAAGAAATAATGTTTACCTACTGGGGAAATCCCTCCAAAAAAACATAATAGTACAAAGATTTTATGTATAAACCAAGCTAATACTTGAATACCTATTGCCAATTTTTAATCTCTAGGCATGATCTTGAAGATGAATAAAACTACTTCCTTTTTTATTTCATTTCTAGAAGAATTTAAGTTTCTTGCCTACAATTAATAAAAAGAATATTATAATCAAATAATATTTGTATAATAATTTGATTAATTTTGAGACTGAATCTACGGAATAAGGAATATGATATGTATATTAAATAAGTATATGATAATATATACATTGTATATACAGTATATATATTCATTATTTAATCACCGCTTGGATTTTTCTATATAAAAAAAACCTATAATTGAAAAAAATTTAAGTGAAATTTTAAATAATGTAATTAAACATTAATTAAATTTAATGGCATAAATTATGTATACAATTGCATTAATTCAAGTTTCTGTTTTACGAGTACTATATGAAACGAGTTCATAATTTTGTAGTGTCGGCATTCAAATATTTGAAGAATTCTTCTAATAACAAAATTTGTTAACTCTAAAATTACCAAATTTTTACATCAATGTAGCTTTATTTATCATTAATTTTTTTTTTTTTTGTGTGAATGCATAATATAAATTAATTAACGCATCACAAATTACAAATAACTTATCAAAAATTACAAATATCCTATCAAAACCTAGCATTCCTAATCATTAGTAATAATCAGGAAGTCAAATATCATTTATTTTGTATCTTAATCATCGAAGACTATTTTTTTTCCCTGCGAAGGAACAATTACGCCGCGATTTGCGGCCGAGAAATAATTTGCACCCCTACCACCTCGATCACCGCCCCTGCCACCTCTGCCACCACGATCGCCACCCCTACCGCGTCCGCCACGACCGGGAGAGAATCCTTTTCGAAATCCTAACAAAAATTAAATAACAACGCATATTAAATACAAATTCAGTAAACAATGAAAATCAACGAACGTACCTGAGTCGTTTTGTCTGCTAGGGGCGAAATCAAGCCTAATTTGACGTCTTCCTATTTCCGTGCCATCCAATTCCAGGGCATTTTGAGCAGTTGCAATATTTGCGAATGTTACATATCCAAAACTGATTATGTAATAGGTGTATTTATTATCAAACAAGAAAGGTATAATTAAATTTATACTGAATTAAGTATGAAGTTGCTTACCCTCTAGGTTTACCAGTATCTTGATGGGTTGGAAGTCGGACAGAAATAATATCGCCGCATTGATCAAAGATCCCTCTAATTTCGTCCTCGGTAACTTCAAACGGTAAATTCCCAATGAAAATTGTTTCACTAGGTTCGCTCGTATCTCTTTTAGTAGCATAGCCATTTTTTTGATTTACAGTAATACTAACATTGACTCTCCTTCCATCGATTTCTTTTCCCGTTAATCTTAGAGCACCTTGTGCATCCTCAGAACTTTCAAATTCTATGTAACCAATCCTAGACACAACAAAGTTTAATTACTGTAATTCTTTGGTGAATTGTAATTCGAAATGAATAAATATATAATTACCCCTGAGATCTTCCTCTATTGTCATATTTGATTTGCGCACTCACAATTTTCCCTGCCTCTTGAAATTCTTGATTTAGCCAATCATCATCTACATTATAAGAGAGGTTGCGAACAACCACTTGACAATTTGATGAACCATCGACATCAATCTTTGGCTTTTTAATTGGAACAGAACTAAATTCATTTGCCATTCTTTTTGCGCCATTTTTCTCTGGAACATCAATTGGCTTGTTAGAGTTACTTAAGTTTTGAGAGATTTGTTCGTTCAGAGGCTTTTCCTTTACTGAAACTTTCTCGTCATCATCGGATTCGTCGTCCTCTGAAGAATCGGAATCGGATTCAGACTCGGAATCGGATTCACTATTCGAAGAATTTTTTTTGCCGTTAATGGCTATGTGGTTTTTTTGACCATTTTTAATTTTATTTTCGACTATTCCCTCACTCTCACTGTCGGAATCATCTGAGCTAGAACTATCGTTAGTGTTTTCACTATCATTAGTTTTTTTTTTCACATCATTCGTTTGAACTTTAACAGATTCTTCTTCAGAATTCTCATTAGAATCGTCGTCCGAATCATCGCTGGAGCCATCGTCGTCTGAAGTATCCGCATTTTGTTTTGAAGGAATTGAAGACGCGTCGTCTTCGGAATCTTCAGAAGCAGAACTCGAACTTTCCGCCTTACTTTTGTCCACATTCGCGGTCGAAACTTTTTTAGGAGTATCCTCTTCATCGCTGCTATCATTTGAATCCTCAGAACTTGAATCGTCTGAACTCGAGTCGTCCTCGTTGCCTGAGTGAGCCTGTAGCAATAAACCGGTCAAGTTTCCATTATTTTTAGGAATATTAACTTTACTATTGCTATCCGTGCTTGAGTCATCACTTGAGTCGCTTGAACTCAAATCTTCGGTTCTTGAGGAAATGATCGTTGTTTTTCTTTTATCCATGGCAATATTCAAAAAAAAACAAAACTCGATTTTTTTTTTTTTTTTTTAGAAAAATTTTTTAGATAAATACGTAATTCCTGATTCGTCAGATGATCTAATTTAAATAATTTTAAATGCGTGTACTTATTAAATTCGGCAATCATGAAAAAATTCTCGAATGATTATTCTACCACCCGAACGATAAACATAGAATGGGATTTAATGCAAGAACTCGTATCACGTTGGAAATGTAATGCTTCAAACTCACAAACAACAGGCAGTCACCGAGACTTTACTGTTGATGTTGTCAAGAACATCGAAAAAGTCATTTTGTTTTTAAACGCGTTCCATGAGGTATCGGATCGCGAGAAATTTCGATTGACCACCCTAACTATATACAGTATATTGACATGCTTAAATAATTAATGAATATAGAAACTACTTTGCTGTCAAACTCCTCAGGAATGCGCGTCCAAATTTCCCAAAGGTGGGACATTATTAACAGACCTAGTGGTATTTTCTTTTCTTATATTTACTTAATTTAACTGCATCCATTTCTAATTCGTCATAATTATGCTTTTGTATTAATTTCTACCTAATATAGCACATTCGAATCCTTGTGCTTCATCCGATCGTATGCAATCTGCTTGTAAAGTGCATTGTAGAATACTCAAAATTCTTTACGGAATTTTCTCAGAATTTAGGAAGTTCAACTAGGTACGCGTTTATCATCTATCGTTTTTAAATTTCTTTGCACAAAACATTTGCACGCGATTTACACATGCAATTTGTACATGTTCCCCAAGAAATTGGTGCTCGCATAGAATACAATCATTTTTTCTTCGTCACATTCCAAAGGAATATACCGACAGATCCTCGGAATTACTGTCAAAATCTTGTGGCGTAGAGGTTTCCGACTTTTCTTGCTTGATGGTTGACGAATCAGTCGCGACAATCAGAGAATTTTTAGAAACAGTGAACAAGGAATCGTTGATGGTACCGGTAAGTTGTCATTACCCACTATTACTTATTCGCTCCTGTTTTTCTCTTAACCTGAAATTTGTCACAGTCTCAATGCCTAATAGAAATCTCGGATCAATGCTTACCATTATTAGAGGATCTTTCGATGTCAAGCTTGATCGATTGCATAATTTTCACTGCAACTAGATATAGTTTAAATCGTACCTCTTGTTCCGATAATGATGAGACGCTTTCATACAAATTTGTGGAAAAACTATTATTCACCAATTCTTCGATGTTTGATAAATTAAGTGTCGAGGCGAAATCCGGGTATATTTTGGATGTACCTAAAACTTATAATGAAAAAAAAAAAAGAAATTTAAGTTAATATATGATTTTGTAGATTGTGGGCATCTTATCCAATTGCAGTGGAAAACGAGGTATACTGCCTGTTTATTTTTCTTAATTACATTTTAATAAATTATAATATACAATATATTGCATTTAAATAGATTATGAGAATTTTTGGTGAAATACTTTTTCCCGAGAACAATGAATATATGACACCAAACGATATCAAGAACGTTATGCAGAATCAACTATTCTTTGAGAGATTGATTGTGCATCCAAAAATTTGTCACGTGTGTTTCGATGTGCTAACAAATCTGATAGACGAATCCCAAGATTGGCGTACCTTTCGTTTAGTAAGATACATGATACAACTCATTTTTGATTGCTGCATACAAAATGGCTATGGTCCTTTAACCATGGTATGATGGTGTGGATAACGTGGTTGTGAGAATTACAAAAATCAGTTAATTAATAAAGATTTCTCTATTCTTTTTATAAAAAAAAGTACCTGCCGCAATCATTTTCGAAAATTGTATCTATTCTCACAGATGAAATCGTCGGGCCGCATAATTTTTCAGCAATCAATTGTAGTCTGAATCAATTTTTGTTGGACAAAAAACCATCGGATTTTGACATGTACAAGAAAAAAGAATGGATAATTTTGATGTCATTTCCAAAGTGGCATTATTGGATAATAGAATCGATCTTCGATGTGATACTTTATCCTGACATTAAGGTGGTAAGTAAATTTGAAATTATATTCAATGACGGGAACGTTTAAATTTTCGATTTTAACGATTTTTGTATTCAAGTTGGAAGATCCAATACATTACTTAACATGGCTGATGTATCCGAGTGGTAACGGGGCCGCGGTTACTCTTAAAAATACATTAATGGATATCATCGATTACATAAGAGGTGATATAAAAAAATATTTAATAGACATCGACGCGTATTTTATTTGAATTTTACATGTGCGATGTATTTGATTGTGCATTTGTTTGAACGACATTGCATCTTTTTAGAATGTCTATCAGATCTCCATGATGTGAATAAGAAAATTCTATTGTTTCTGAATCGAAATCGACATATTTTTGAAAATCACTTGATCTTAGTCGACATTATTTTAGGAATATGGAAGACGACAAATTCTATCAGTTTGCTA